AGCTGGGTAAACTATTAACTTCTTTATATTTTAATTGCTAGAGGGATACCTGTCTGAGTCGGGCAGCATTGGCCACCGCGGTTCTCGCACTGCTACAGCACATCCAGCAAGATCCCACTGTGTTGATGAGTAAACTCCAGGCATCTCAGCCGTTTCACCTCCTCAAACATAAATTTTTGGCACTTTGAACAAAGATTTTGGGCAAAACTCGTGGATTTTTCACAAAATTTTTTCTCTTAAAGCAAGTTACATTTATCGACTCACCGACTAAACTGCATTCCGCCTCAATACATGCTTCAGCTATAGATGCTACAATTTCACGAGCACGTACTCGATTCAGACGTCCACTAACAAAATAATCAAGAAAAGCTATGGGAGCCGCACAATGGCACAATACGTCGTTCACACACATCCCAACAACGTCGCGACCTATGCCTGAGTAGTCGTTCATGATGTCGGCTATCTAAAAGAAAGAGAATATTCTTAACACTTTAAAGAGCATTTGACGGATCCTAAAAAATTAGGGAAAAAAGGCATGGTTAGAGACCATGATTGGTCCATTAATGTTTCAGCAATGTGAATTCAAAGCTGGATGATACTACTTCTTTTTCGTAGCAATAAAGAAAAATATGCAATGTTTTGGTACAGTACCCATGTCTATCAAAGCTCAAAGCAGCTGTTGTCACCTATATGAGACAAACCTCAATTTTTGTCCCAACTCCATCGATTCCAATTACCAGCTGAGAACCGTTGCGATACCCGGCTGCAACCAAATCAATTACGGCACCAAAGCCTCCGATCTGAAGAGCTCATAATCTTTCCCCTAATCTTTTCTTTTTACTTCCTTCTTTGTGAAACTAATCGTCAAAAGATATTCCTACCTGGCCAGTTCCCTTACGCAGTGTAGACTTGACAAGACCTTTGATGTCCTCCACGAAAGCATTTCCTTCAGCAACGTCGACACCGGAATCGCCATAGGTCAGTGATTTGGTAGAACTAAACA